ATAAGTAAATTCAATTTATTGGTTTACCATTTCCACGAAACACACTTGGAATGCTCGTTATAGGTGCTACAACGACTCGCTCTGATACTACTTGTCATGCCCTTAGAGGCTTCAACACCGAAACGTGTATTCTTAGACACTCATTAATGCTTCTTGGTCGATTATGTACCTAAGTAAACCTTAAACCAAGCTTATGAGCATGCAAACTCAGTAAAGGTTATCATCAAGTCCTCAACGATTCGATGTATACGAAAGCTTTAACACCAATGTGGCCACTCAAGCCACTAAAGTTGGATACTGATGTGAAAGTGTAAACACCATAGGGGATACTCTTAGTCACATAAAGAGGCAACATGCACAAAAAGAACTAGAACAACTGAAAGGGATAAGAGAATTAGAGCAAATGCCTTAGAGCTTTATTACTCTCTTAAATGAGAATGAAAGAAGTGATGATACCAATGAGAAATAGAGGCTCTCTATTTATACTTAAGCTTTCTCTCAATCAATGGCTACGAGCAATTTACATTAACGACTAAGATCAACCCTATTTAATACAAAATCCCCTAATATAAGGAAAGTCAATCCCCATCCTATCTACTAACATAAATTAGTATGAATCTTTCCTTGGATAGGTTTTCACACTGATATGGTATAAATCCTCCATAATCTTCTCTGATTTATTGTCTTTTTCCATATTTATCAAACTTCTGTGATCATATTCTAATATGATGCTACTTTCTATATTTTTATGGTCGATGTGAACGAACTCTCTAGTATTCTCCAAGTGATGGGCCAAGTCTGGTGGTCTTGACAAACCCGATACTCCATGTTCAACCTCTTTAATGAGCTCTTGAACCAATGTCTCAAACCCAAATTCTATGGGCAACATAATTTTGAGGTAATAAATAAGGATTACTAAAGGGGAAAGAATTAAGATAATCATCATTCGTTCTTTTATCTAGAACGTTATGTGAATGTTTATTAGTCTATTACTGATGTTAGTTATTAAGCTACTCTATTATGGTCATTCGTTACCTAAAGGTGTCTTAGTCATTCTCTGCTTCTAGCAAAGTCTTTATGCGTTCCATGATTCTATAATGATTATCGTGATTTTTGTTTACTGGATGTATTAGTTACTAACTCGATACCTGACTCAGGTTCATTACTAGTTAGCGATACTCTATCCACTCTTACCACATTTTTTCTTAATTCACCCTCGAAATAGAGGGACAACTGTACGTCCACTATTCTCTATCATTCTTACATTACACGATTCATCTATTTCATGATTTGATTATTTTGTCATACCGCTTGTCGGTACACCCTTTGCAACGAACTTTTCTTCTTAGATATTCAATATGAGGCCTATAAGGGTAATTTGGTAATTACAGCTCCCAAGGGTATTTTAGTAACCTCCCGCACCCATGCTAGATGCTCGATCTCAATCGATATTAAACTCCCCACTCTTGAGTCTATTTGACATCTTAAAATAACTTAACCACTTTACGTATTGATATCAAGCCTTCTATATGGTTACTCAAAATTTGGTATGGATATAAGTCATTCGGTACAAAGACTAGTGGTCTCGAGACCGAGCATTTGGTCTCAATACAGAGCATCTAGTATCGATACCAAAGGGTCAGTATTGATACTCATTCGCTCAATATTTGATCATGAATTCAATGTAAACTTTAAAATGCTCAAATATCCAAATCTTAGCAAATTCTTGAAATTTATGAAAGCTTAACATTCCAAAGGATTAGAAATACACTACCTTGATGTTTAAATCACGAAATGAAGCTCTTTTTTATCCACACTCATTTCCTTTGTGATTTGGATGAAAACACCCACTTTTTTCTTTAACTATAACAACCCAAGGCTCGATTTATTAAAAAGGTGTTGCCAGAGGGATTATGGACGAAAATGAAGCTTGAAGGAAGTAACAAATGGATCAAATGACTTACATTTTGTTTTGGTCTTTTAAAAGGAAAAAGAAGAGGAAAGATGAAGAAATGAGTACAAGAAAAAGATAAATACAATAAAAAAGGATTCATCTTTATAAAATGGGAAAATTACACTATAGGTCATTTCCATCTTTTCACCATTCAAAAACTCTCTTTTTGTGGCTAATTTGGCCCAAGTCCAACCCATTTAATCTCAACTCAACCCAACGACTTAAAATATGAAATTCACGAGGTCCACTTACATATAGGTTAAAACCAAAACTACTAGCTCAAAATTTTGGGTATTACATATCAACCCTTTTTAATACAAAATGCCCTCACCCTATATAATCACATCAATTTGTAGGAATCTTTTCTTTGATAGGTGTTCACACTGGATATGGTAAGAATCCTCCATAATCTTCTTTGATTTGTTGTTTCTTTCCATATTTATCAAGCTCTTGTGATCATCTTCTAATATGATGCCACTTTCCATATTGGCATGACCAATGTGAATGGGCTATTTAGTATTCCCCAAGTGATGGGCAAAGTCTGGTGGTTTTGGCAACCCCAACACTGATATGAGGTAGCCTGTTGATTGAGGACCTTTTCGATTGTAATGGATCTAGAACGAAGTAAGTAATTCATTTGCAGCAAACTTACTAAAACTAAGGATGATGGTGTTGGTTGTATGGCTAAGGTTATGGACAAAAATTGGTGAATAAGGGGTGAAGAAATGATGAAGAAAAGAAGGAATTAGGTTGCTGGAAATTTACAAGGTTGAAAGGTGAAAGATGAATGCTTGGTGAAGATGACAATGGTGAAAGAACAAATCTCGAAATTTTGGTTAGCAAACAAAGAACAATAAAAAGTATAAACCCGAACCTTATACGTTCAATGTTCAAAGGACTTGGACCAGCTAGATAGCAATCTAAGAACCTGAAGTATTGCAAGCTTGACACAACAAGATCAGACTTGAAATGTCAAGAAAATAGTTCTAAGAAGAACCAACATTGAGAGAAAACCTCACAATAATTTTTATTCATCAAATGTCTAACCTTTGTACTTTAAAAAATATAGATAAATGGGATATATGGCTAGTCATCACTTATGGCTACAAAACAATCAGATTTTGAATTTAAAACTCAAATGAAAAACCACCATGTAACTCCCTTGTGTTGCTGCCCATTTGTGTGGCTGATTTCGAATGCATTTAACACATTTTGCATGTGTTAAATGAGTGGATAAGGAGGTTAAAAACCATCCATGCATGGAGGGAAGAGTTGAGAATTCAAAAAATTTCACATGTGCTTTTAGTTTGAATTCAAATCTGCCCAATGTTGAATTTCCACACATGTGCACAATGTCACACATTCCATGCACTCTTGTATAGGTATATAACGCCCCACATGCTGCTCACATGCTTGTAGGACACTATCCCACATGTAGGACACCTTTGAGCTACTTCTAGACTTGTTAGCTTGAATTGAGCTAGTAGAACTGAAATAAAGTTGAATGGAGCTAAGGTGAGCTGAATTCAGCTAGCTAAAAGTGTAGTGAGTTAATTTGAGCTGAGATGAGCTGCATACACTCCCTTGAGCTTCAAACGAGCTAGGATTAAGACCTTAAGCTGTTTTCCTTTATTGTTCCTATATGAAATACATAATAACATCCATCAAAGTATGACAAATTTATTGTAAACTTACTAATAAGATGAAAATACCATGCAAACACACTTATGATCTATAAAACTTATTAAAACATAAAGTAAGTAAATATATATAGTACACACACTTATATATCTAATGAAATTAATGCAAATGCACATAATTACTTGGTATAACTAAGGTGATGTTACACATCAGTATGTAACACATTGAAAAGCTTAGTTTCTAAGGCATAAACATTACAGAATGATTCAGAAACTTGTAAACACTTAAGAGAAAGATCTTCCTTGAAATGTTTTACCTTAGAACGTATGATAGGTCCCGTTAGTAGGACCTACGGATCAACTTCCTTTACTGGTGTTGATGTGCTCACATCATCCCCTTCTTAAAAAAGATTTAACCTCAAATCTGTAGAAACATCGTAAGGGGATAAATCAGAAACGTTAAATGTAGCACTTACATTGAATTCACCCGGTAAGTCCAACTTATAAGCGTTATCGTTCACTTTCTCCAACACTTGAAACGAACTATCTCCTCGTGGTAACAACTTAGAACGTCGTTGGGCTGAAAAACGTTCCTTTCGAAAATAAACCCAAACCCAATCTCCAACGTCGAAGGTAACTCGCTTACGACCATTATTTTTCTTGCTTCTCATACTGTTGAGTCATTCGCTATATATTTTCCTTAACCTGTTGATGCAACCTCTTCACATAGTCTGCTTTAGACTTTCCATCCCTGTTCATAACCTGTTCTTGAGGCAATGGAAACAAATCCATAGGAGTTAAAGGATTAAAGCCATAAACAATCTCAAATGGTGAAAATTTAGTTACAGAATGAACAAAATGGTTATAGGCAAACTCAACATGCGACAAACAATCTTCCCGTGTCTTAATGTTCTTTTTAATGATGGAACACAATAAAGTAGATAAAACTCGATTTACAAACTCCATTTGTCCATCAGTTTGAGGATGACAAGTAGTGGAAAACATCAGTTTCATTCCCAATTTACACCAAAGAGTCCTCCAGAAATGACTCAAAAACTAAACATACCTGTCAGAAACAATAGACCCAAGAATTCCATGTAAACGAAAAATCTCCTTAAAAAACAAGTTGACCAAATTAGTAGCATCATCAGTTTTATGACACACAATGAAATGTGTCAACTTTGAAAACCTATCAACAACAACAAAAATACTATCTCTACCTGTCCTAGTTCTAGGCAATCCCAACACAAAATCCATCGAGATATCCAGCCAAGGAGAATCAGGAATAGGTAAAGGCAAATACATATCGTGTGGTAGAACATTTGATTTTGCTTTCTTACATGTTACACAATGTTCACATGTTCTTTCAACGTCCCTGCACATCTTAGTCCAGAATAGATGCTCTTTCAGAATGTGCAACGTCTTAGTGACTCCAAAATGTCCCATAAGTCCACCTTCACGTTCTTCTCGAACAAGAACTTCTCGAATTGACCCTTGAGGAATGCAGATTCTTCATTCTTTGAAAAGATAGCCATCATGTTGATAAAACTTCTCATCTGCACCTTTTTCATATGACATGTATCTTTCCCCAAAATCAGGGCCAGTGATATATAAATCTTTAATATAAGCAAAACTAATCAAATGAGAATCCAAATAATTCAGAAGTATACATACGGGACAAGACATCTGCTACAACATTGTCTTTACCCTTTTTATATCAAATGACATAAGGAAAAGACTCTAAAAATTCAACCCACTTAGCATGCCTTTTATTTAATTTATGCTGACCTGTAATGTGTTTCAAAGCCTCATGATCAGTGTGAATCACAAACTCTTTTGGCAAAAGATAGTGTTGCCACGTCTCAAGTGCTCGAACTAATGCATACATCTCTTTATCATAAACTGGACAATTTAAGGTAGCACCACTCAACTTCTCACTGAAATATGTAATAGGTCGCTTTTCTTGTGACAAGACTGCTCCAATTCCTATACCTGAAGCATCACACTCAATCTCGAACATTTTATCAAAATTAGGCAAGACTAACATTGGTGCCTTAGTTAAACAATCCTTTATTTTTAGAAAGGCTTCCTCCTGTTTATTACCCCAATTGAAGACAAAATTCTTCTTTATAATCCTGGTTAAGGGTACGGTAATAGAACTGAAGTTAGGAATGAACCGACGATAAAAACTAGCTAAACCATGAAAAGATCTAACCTGACTTATCGACGTCGGTCGAGGTCATTTATGAATTGCCTTCACTTTTTCAGGATCGACTTCTACACTCTAGACACTAACAATGAAACCAAGAAAGGTAAGCTTGTCAATACAAAATACACATTTCTATAAATTACCGAACAACCTTTCTTTTCTCAATGTGCCAAGAACATTTCTCAAATGTTCCTCATGTTCCTGCAATGATTGTTGTAGATAAGAATGTCATCAAAATACACAACACAATATTTCCAATATAAGGTCGCAAAACATGATTCATTAGCCGCATGAACGTACTAGGTGCATTAGTTAAACCAAAAGGCATTACTAGCCATTCATACAAACCCAATTTCATTTTGAAGGCTATCTTCCATTCATTGCCTTCTCGTATTCGAATATGATGATACCCACTCTTTAAATCCACCTTGGAGAAAATACTCGCACCACATAATTCATCAAGCATATCATCAAGGCGAGGAATAGGATGCCGATACTTGATAGTAATCTGATTCACAGCTCGACAATCGATACACATTCTCCACGTTCTGTCCTTCTTTGGCACCAACAACACTGGTACAACACACATACTCAAGCTCTCTCGAATGTAACCCTTCTTCATCAACTCAGTGATTTTCTTCTGAATTTCTTTTGTTTCTTTGGGATTACTTAGATATGCTGGCCTATTTAGAATAGTGGCTCCCGAAATAAAGTCAATCTGATGCTCAATGCCCTGAATAGGTGGCAATCTACTTGGTGTCTCATCCGAAAACACATCCTCAAATTCCTGCAAAAGAGATGTAATAGAAACAGGCAAATCAGTAGGAATTTCAACCAATAAGCAATGCTCTTTATACATTAAAATAAGTAAAGATTGCTGAGAGGAAAGACATTTCCTGATTTCCTTTTCGCTTGCATACACGTTCATCTTTTTCTTTCCTTTTGCTTCTCTACTGTTCTTTTTCAAACGAACTTGATCTTTCTGCACTTGACTTGGTGTCAAAGGTACTAAGGAGATTTTCATACCTGCATTCATAAAAGAATATCTATTTGTGAAACCATCATGCATCACCTTTTTATCAAACTACCATGGACGTCCCAATAACAAATGAGTGGCATCCATTGACAAACGTCACACAACACTTCGTCCTTGTACTTTCCAATGGTAAATGGTACAAGAACTTGTTTAGTGACCTTTAACTCTCCACCATCATTCAACCACTGTAGCTTATATAGATTGGGATGCTTTGTCATTTTCAGCCCTAACTTGTCAACCATAACAATACTTGCATCGTTAGTAAAACTACCACTATCGATAATCACAACACATACCTTATCATTTACAAGACATCTTGTATGAAAGATGTTCTCTCGCTGATGTTCATCATGAATCGGTTGTGCATTCAAACTTCTCTTAATCACAAGTGCTTCACCTATTGCACAAGTCTGCAATTGGTCATCATCTTCATCACTATCCACTAAAGGGTTTCTTGCTCATCATCTTCAGATTCAGAATCTATATCCCTATTCACACGCATCAACAATATCTTTCGGTTAGGAAAATGACTTACAACATTCCCTCTGCCAAGGCATTTGAAGCATTGGATGTCTCTTGTGCGTTCTAGTTGCATATGTTGCTTTCCACGTCCAACTTCAACAACAAGAGGCTTTAGACTACTCATTTATGTTCTTTCCTTAATCTTAAGCAGTTCTTGCTTCCTAGAATTGTTAGGAGTGAATAATGGATTAGAGAAAACTTTAGAAGGAGTATTACCTCGGTAAGAAGATTTTCTATGTTGTTGGCTTTTTATTTTGATCGCCATATGCACCATGTCATCCAACTCGACACAATGCTGCAACTCAACAACGCTAGCAACTTCAAAATTCAAACCTGCAAGAAAACGTGCTATAGTTGCTTCTCTATCTTCCTCGATATTTGCACGCATCATGGCCATTTCCATCTCTTTGAAGTAATCTTCAACACTTCGATTACTCTGTTTTAAATTTTGTAATTTCTGAAATAAATCACGATGATAGTGAGTTAATTTGAGCTGATATGAGCTGCATACACTCCCTTGAGCTTCAAACGAGCTAGGATTAAGACCTTAAGCTGCTGCCCTTTATTGTTCCTATATTAAAAACATAATAACATCCATAAAAGTATGGCAAACTTATTATAAACTTACTAATAAGCTGAAAATACCATGCAAACACACTTATGAGCTATAAAACTTATTAAAAACATAAAGTAAGTAATATATATAATACACACACTTATATATCTAATGAAATTAATGCAAATGCATATAATTACTTGGTATAACTAAGGTGATGTTACACATTAGTATGTAACACATTGAAAAGCTTAGTTTCTAAGGCATAAACATTACGGAATGATTCAGAAACTTGTAAACACTTAAGAGAAATATCTTCCTTGAAATTTTTTGCCTTAGAACGTGTGATAGGTCATGTTGGTAGGACCTCAGGATCAACTTCCTTTGCTGGCGTTAATGTGCTCACATCAAACACTCTATATTCAACCTCTTTGGCGGGTTCGAGTATCGATATTACAACCCTCAGCATCGATACCAAGGGGTCAGTATCGATACTCCTTTGCTCAATATTTGATACTTCCTACTTGAAATCCCTAATTTCCCCCAATTCATCTAGTGTCGACACTGTTCATCCCAATATCTATACTCGAACCTGAAAATGTTTATTTAGGCTCAGAAAACACCCAAAAATCATCCTAAACGATTTGGTTTGGTTCCTAATCTTGTACTGAAGCTTTAGAAGGTTATTTAGGATCTTAATGTGTCATAAAACATATTCTTTACACCTAAAATGTGATTTGATCATGAATTCAAAGATAAACCCTAAAATACTCATATCCAAATCTTAGCAAATTCTTGAAATTTGTGAAAGCTTAACATTCCAAAAGATTAGAAATACACTACCTTGATGTTTAAATCCCAAAATGAAGCTCCTTGTTTAGTTGCACTCATTTCCTTTGTGATTTGGATGAAAACACCCACTTTTCTCTTTAACTATAAAAACCCAACATTTAAAAGGTGTTGCTGGAGGGATTATGAATGAAAATGAAGCTTGAAGGAAGTAAGAAATGGATCAAATAACTTACCTTTAGTTTTGGTCTTTTGAGAGGAAAAATGAAGAAATGGGAAGGAGAAGAAGATGAATGAAATTAAAAAAAATGCTTCATCTTTATAAAATGGGAAAATTACACTCTTAGTCCTTCTCATCTTTCACTATTCAAAAACTCTATTTTTATGGCTAATTGGACCAAAGTCCAACCCATTTAAGATCGACTCGACCCAGCAACTTAAAGTATGAAATTCACGGGGTCCACTTACCTCTCGAGTAAAACCAAAAATACTAGCTTGAAATTTGGGGTGTTACAGATAAACCTCGTTTAATACAGAAACCCCTCATCCTATGTAATCACATCAATTAGTAGGAATCTTTTCTTGGATATGTGTTAACATTGGATATGGTAAGAATCCTCCAATCTTCTTTTATTTGTTGTTTCTTGTCATATTTACCAAGCTCTTGTGATCATCTTCTGATATGATGCCACTTTTCATATTGACATGACCAATGTGAACTCACTCTCTAGCATTCCCCAAGTGATGGACCAAGTCTGATGGTCTTTGAAAATTCGATATTCCATATTCAATCTCTTTGGCGGGCTCCTACGTCAATGTCTCGAACCCAAATTCTAGGGGCGTGACATAATTGTGAGTCAATAAATAAGGATTACTTAAGGGGAAAGAATTAAGATAATATTGTATGATGAGCGTCTACATTAGCCTATGTAGTTGCGTTAAGGATTTATATCTCTTGTACTGAAAAAAATATTAACAGTAAAGTTCTCTTTAAAGAAGATTTTGTAGAGATATAATCATTAAATAATTTGAATTTACATTTTTTTTAAATTTAGATTTTTAATAGGTTTGTCCACGTAATTTCAAATTTCAACATTATAAAGGGATAATAATATCATAACTGAATTTAAAATAATATATATTTTCATAAATTTTAATATGTAAAAAATGTGTATTAACACGAGACATTCGTATTTTGTTGATGTTAGTTAAAAATAATGTTTTATTTAGTAGTAACAACAAGAACGGAAACTAATTACCTGAGATTATTTTACTCCTTAAAATCTTCACAAATGAACCAAAGAATAGTTCTAAGAACGGAAAAAAAACCCCTCAACGAGGGGAATAATGGTTCACGTTCGCAACGCCATTTTCAATTGTATAAACGTTATACCCCTCGTCCTAGGCCTGTTCGCCGTGGCGGTCACCGTTTACTTCAGCCGCAGCGGTGGCACCGCCTGCTAAAGCTCCGTCCGAAGCCCTTTGTTGATAACCAGCCTCGTTTTCATCATTTTATCTGTGTTCGCCTTCCTCGGCTCTTGCTTATAGAACACCGACATCTTCTTTACGATTTACTCGATTCTATTAATCTTGATCATATTGGTTTTGTTTTGTGCGACCTTCTTCTCCTTGATCATCTCGAACAGGGCGTTGTCTAAGAAGGTCGCCGCGATGGGAGTCGGATCACTTCGACTCAAAGATTATTCGAATTGTTTGAAAAATAACATCGTGGACAGGGGCGGAGCTTAGTGAGGGAATAAAGAGGTTCAACCTCGTTAAAATTTGTATATTCTGTATAATTTTGATCTAATAGCATTTTGGTTCATGTAAAATAAATATTTAAAATAAAAAATATAAGAATTTATTAAATATTTAATCAAGTAAGGAACGATCTAAAGAAGGATAATTTTGTGTTCCCAAAATTTTTGGTCTAATAACAATTTTGGTCATTGTAAGTTTAAATATTAAACAAAATGTGTGTTATCTTGTGAATTTTGAGTTTTTTTTAAATAAATTTAGGATGAATATAAGGTAATATTTGTACAAAGACTCTCAACTATTTGATAATGAACGCTCATATCTCTACATGCGCAGTGCTCGAACTCGATACCTCAAGGATAATAACAATCTCTTAATCACTAAGATCGCTTGATTCGTACTGAATTTGAGTCTAAATACCTAATAAATCTTTACATTTTTCTTAAATATTCTAATATTTCAATCCCTATCAATATTTAGTTCTGACTCGGTCTCCGTGGATAATGGGCATCGGGAAGAGGCTTGGAGTTGCTTGAGCGATTCCCATGTTTGCAAAACCCTCCGTAGCGACTAACATCTCTTAGGTTTCGTGAAGCACAAGTTTTCAATGATACAAGTACGGTTATTTGATTGCTCATTTATTATTTCCTGATTGTATTGCTTGACGTATTTTAGCGAAAAATATCTTATAGGAAATGCATAACCTTAAAATTTTCTTCTTTTGTTTAGCCCGGTTGTTGCAAGAAGCCCATTTACTGTAAACTCGAATACAAAAATTCGACGTTTTGGGAGATGCCGAAGTCGGGACCCAACGTCCCCGACGGCGACTGCCTCACTTGGAGCAACGACAAGAACAAACTTTGCTTCGACTGCAAGTCTTGCAAGGGTGGGTTTTTAGACGACCTTCGGAAACAATGGAAGTTTTTGGCATTCGTTAACTTAGGCATCCTCATAGTTATCTTCATCGTATTCAACTTCAGTTGCAGCGTCGGGCGACGGAAAAATCCGACACCCGATAACGCTGCGTAGCCAACTCCGTCACAATCTTTACCAACATTTTAAAAATAGGAAAATAAAAGTACGTGTATATTTTTTACCAATAAATTCTATTTTTATTTAATGTATAATTAGTTTTAATTTCATGTAAAGCAATGTTAAAAACAAATATCAGTTCTGATTATCTAACGATTTAATTAATATTAATTCTGTTTATAAACCAATTTCACTTGTGAACTTTATATATTTACCTTGATTAAGTAAATGTAAACCTTAATTAAATAAATGTAATATTATTTATATGTGATTTGTGTGCTTTGACATATCAAGAACCGAATGTAATAAGCTGATGGTTAATGCATGTAACTCATATACGATTCAACTATGTTTATAAATATAAAATCATAACTCGATTAAAGATTGCATGATTTATAGATATGGAATGTGATCATGTGTGATTCTGGGAAGTATCGAAATCCAGAATTGCTTAACATGGAAGCAATTGATGGAGGTTATGTTATGGCTGCAGCTCATGCAAAAGTGGGATTCTTGCCGTGTTTAGGAAAGATGAAAAGAAAGAGGATCTAGTAACATTAATGAAAGAATTACAAGAGATTACATGATTCATGTGACTTCCATGATTCACACCAGAAAAAAGAAAACAAAAGAAAATGGTTACTCGGCACCAGGAAGAAACTTGGTGCTGCTGGTCATACCGAAACGTTTAGCATCCGCCGGAAAAACCATCGACGGTGACAAAAGCTCCACTGGCGAAAAGTTATACGTATCAGTTCCGAGTCGGCTCTGTAACCACCCTTTGCTTCCCGAGAACCCGTCGGCCACCACAAAACAGTTGTTGAAACCAAGACTCCTTAATGTTCTCGCAACTGTTTTTGCTGAATCACAGTAGCTGAGCATTCAAGATTCAAAAAAAAAAAAAAAAGAAGAAGAAAAGATGTCAGTGGTTTTAGAATCGAATTCCACTCGTTTTTTGATTTGTATCCATCACAGTTTAAGTTCAGATCGGAATTGCCATATTTGATTAGAATTGAGGATTAGATAGGGATTGAATAACTTACGAATCCATGATTACAATGTTTGAGCCTTTGTTGATTTTCTTGAGATATGAAATCTTCAATGCTGCAATCTCGGCTTCTACTTTCTTTGTGTTTCTCACTAAGCTTCTTAACTTGCTTGGCAACCCTTCCAGACTGAAACACAGAAACCATTGACAGATGATTTGCAGAATCTGAACAACGTTTCTATGATGATTTTGCCCGTAAACAAAGAGGAAAATCAAGACA